ATTTTAAATTTTCAGTCTCCCACTGCTCATTATTGTTAGCGTACATAGAAATACAAATTTCATCTTGACTTCAGTGAAGGTTTCACTGGCATATACAAATGTCAAAATTTATCAAACTACATTTTCAAGATGTTCAGTTTATGGCACATCACTTATACCCCAATTCAAAAATTGGAAAGGTAGCAGTTTAATTGTTCTTATGTATCTATATTTACTTAATTGGTATATAATTCATAGATCATAACATTCACCCTTAACCTTAGTATATATTCACAAGATTAGACAACAATTCATCACTAATTCGAGAACACTTTGATCAGCACCAAAAAAAATCCCTCTACTGGCCACTTCACATTTCCCTAGCCCCTCAGAATATATTGAACAGAATATATATGGCAGTGTATTTCATCTGGCCACACCAATTTACGCCTCAAGACCTTCTGTGGAAGAGATTGGTTTGACAGTTTTACGTGACTATGACAGATACACTCCTATCAGTAATCACGGTGCTGTAATAAGAACCATACCATAATAATTTTTTTTAAAAACACCCTCACTGCTTCAAGTTGATTCTTACTCACAGAGACCATAGAGGACATCGTAGAACTGTCCTTGTGGATTTCCAAGGCTACACATCTTTACAGGAGCCGAACGCCTCATCTTTCTCCCACGGAACAGCTGGTGGGTTTGACTGCTGACTTCGTGGTTAGCAGCCCACAAGTTATAGCCCTTATGCCACCAGCACTCCACATATAGACAATCATTTTAGAAATGCTTCAATAACAGAAATAGCATTCAGTATACATGTATAAAGGTGGTGGCTCATGCCATCAAGCCGATTTTGACTCACAGTGACCCTATAACAACAGAGCAAAACACTGCCTGGTCCTGTGGCACCTCTACAATTGTGGTGACGTTAGAGCCCCTCGCTGCATCCACTCTGTCAATCCATTCCATCCCGGGTCTTCTTACATGTGTTGTGGACTGCTAAATTATTACTTTTATTAAAATATCAATTCCCAAAGTCAAAACTTTATTAATCTTCCTCTTAGCTTCTCTTTGTTAGTTAATGATGTCAACATCGGGACACAGTGTTTAATGCTGAAGATATGCTCCCACTAGAAATACAGAACTGCTCACAACCTGCAAAGCTTTACACACAGATACACACTGTTTTGGGAAAATTTCAATATAAACTACACTTTCTCAACAACGTCTTAAGATATCTAATATTCACAAGACATTTAATATTTACAACACCACACTGGAAGGGCAATGGGCTTATGTTCTACACTGTACCAGCTCAGAACATTATGATTAAGACTTGTGCTGGCTGGTTTGGGGCCGTTTTTGTTTTTTTAAGATGACAAGTTTCACCATTTGTATTACAGCATCTATCAGTTATTGAAAAGGCAGTGATCACAGCCAAATCTAGTCATTTTTCATGATGGAGAAGCAGCAGGGGTGATCAATATACATAATCCATTTCAGATCGATTTGTATCTTTTTCGAATGGTTCTATTATCATCAGATTATTTCTGGAACATGTAAATTAAATGTGACAGAGCGAAAAATAACAGCTGATACTGGGTTTTTTACACTCCTATGGTTAGCACATGCTGTGAAAACCAGGCTCAAGCATTATTCACTTCTTAAAAATTAACTTTTTGCCAAATATAATCGAGCTTTGACTCAATGGCAGTGAGTTTTGGAGGGTTTTTGTTTTGTTTTTAAAATTATTACAAAAATACTAGCTAAATCATAAAACAGCTATAATCCTAGGGATGTACCTGAGCATGGTCTATGCATGAATATTCAACAATTAAAATGCTGGTAAAATATGATTTGTGGAGGATAGCCTATTAAGAATATGGAAAATGCATTAATGTAAGACTATGTCATTGAGGGGGGAGTGGGGAGGGAGGGGAAAAATGAGGACCCAATGTCGGGGGTTTAAATGGAGAGAAAATGTTTTGAGAAACGATGTACAAATGCGCTTTACACAATTGATGTGTGTATGGATTGGGATAACAGTTGTATG